GGCAGCTGCGGGCGCGGAAGGCTTCCATCCCCTCCCCTCGGAGCAGCATTCCCAGTGGGAATCCCTCCCCTGAAGCAGCCTCCCTGTGTCCCAGGCTGTGCTGCTGCCCCGGCTGATGTGGGATTTCTCGGAGCTGCTGGAGCAGCTGCTGCTGCGGGGCCGGGCCGTGGGCTTCTCGGGGCAGCTGCGGGCGCTGGTGGGGCACAGCCTGCGGCTGCTGCAGCCCCCCAGGGCCATTCCCGGGCCCCCCGAGGCCTCGGCCCGGGCACGGCTGGGCCGGCTGGCGGGCGGGGTCCGGCACCACCTGGCCGGGGAGGCCGCGGGAGGTGAGCGGGGACAGGGGGACACCGGTGGCACCGGGGAGCAGAGACACTGGGGGAATGGGTGAAGGGGTGGTGGCTGCAGCCCGGAGAGCACCAGGGGTGGGGTTTGTGTCGTGGGGGTTGATGGCAGCGGGATTTGGGGCAGCAGGTGGGTGGTGCCAGGGAGATTGGTGATATTGGGGATTCGGTGGCATTGGGGACATTGGGCACACAGGGGCTTATTGACACTGGGGAATGGGGATGGGGGGGTTCAGTGACTCCAGGGCAGGTGACACCCCTGTCCCATCAGCCTGTGCCATCCGTGCCCTGCTGCTGGAGGTGCTGCCAATCGTGGGGCCGCCCTCCAGCCCCACCAGGATCGTGCTGAGCCGGGCCGAGCTGCTCCAGAAGATCCTGGAGCTGCTGCAGCTGCTGCCCCCCACCCTGCTGGGGCTCCAGGTGGGCACACGGGGCTGGCATGCCATCCCCAGCCCTGCTGGGGCTCCGGGTGGGCACACGGGGCTGGCCTGCCACCCCCTTGCTGTGCCCCCAGCCCTGCCAGCCTCCCGACTGCCACAGCCTGCACATCCTGGACAAGCTCATCCTCGGGGGGCTGCTGGAGGAGGAGGAGGAGGTGGGTGACGCCGCGGGACCCCTGGTGGGGCACAGGGGCAGGGTGGCAGCGGGGTGAGGTGACAGCCTGCTGTCCCTAGGTGGACAGCGAGCGCTGGGGCTGTGACGTGGCCCCGCGCCGCCGCTCCTGGCGGGGACAGTCCCTGGGCTTCTTCAGCGATGACAGCGACAGTGACGGCGAGCACGGCGTCCCCAAGCAGTGCTACAAGGTACCGGGGGTCCCCCCGCTGGCCCCCAGGCTGTGGGGAGGGTGATCTCCCCCAAATCTGGCTGTGTGTCCCCCCCCACAGCTCCGTGAGCCCCAGGGCTTCCCCGGCTTCCTCCTCTTCCTCTGCCGCCTGCTGAGCCCCGTGCTGCAGACCTACGGCCGGGCCGTGCAGTTCCTGCAGAGACCCCCCTGGCCCCAGCCCGGTAGGACCTCCCCCCAACGTGGGGAACCCCTTGGGACTCCCTGGGACCACTGAGGCACAGGATCTGACTCCCCCTCCCCACTGCAGAGGAAGACTACGTGGAGGCGCTGCTGGAATTCCTGGCTGAGGATGAGGATGGTGAGTCAAAAAGAGGGGGGGGGTCCTGCTTTTAGTGACCCCCAAACCCAGCTGAGGGTTCCTGAGAGCTGGCATCTGGGGGTCTCTCTCCCCACAGGGTATCCTGACAGGAGCCTGGCCCTGAGCTCCCTGCAGAGTTTCAAGGACATGGGGGTAAGCACGGCTCCCCCAGCCCCCCAACATTGTGCTGCCCCCCTCTCCGTCCCCTCCTGACCTCCCTGTGCCCCCCCAGGTGCTGGAGGAGCTGCAGACCCCCACGGGACCCGCCCTGCAGCTCTCCCAGCCTTTCCAGTCTGCTTCCAACCGGGAGAAACTGGCAGCCTTCATCCACCAGTTCACCCAGCTGTAGCCCCCAGACCCATAAACGGGCACAGTGACCCAAAGGCTCCTGGATTTATTGACCCGGGGTGGGGGGCGCTGGGACCTGGGGTGCCACCATCACACCACCCTGTTGCAGATGCTGCCCAGCTCCTCAATCTCACACTGCACCTCGTCACCGCGCTGCAAGGAGGGGACACGGTGGCACCTGTCCCCACTGGGCTGCACCGTGTCCCCCCCCCTGAGCCCCCATTTCCCCTCACCTTGAGGAAAACGGGCGGTTTCCGAAAGACCCCCACTCCCGCAGGGGTGCCCGTCAGCAGGATGTCCCCAGGCACCAGCGTGACAAACCTGGGGGACACAGGGGCTGTCAGCCACGGCCCCCGGGGCTTTGGGGGTCCCTAGGCCCCCCGTTCCTACCGGGACACCCAGGCGACCAGGGCGGGCACCCCAAAAATGAGGTGCTGGGTGTTGCTGTCCTGCATGCGCTGCCCGTTGACGCTGCAGCGGATCCACAGCTTGTGCACGTCTGCAGGTGACACGGGGACAGTGCCACCGTGACCCCCGCGCGGGGAAAACCACGGGGGCAGCGGCTGAGGAAGGGTCAGGGTGCCACCCCCGCCCCACCTGGCACCGCCTCCTTGGTGACAATGGCCGGCCCCAGGGGACAGAAGGTGTCGAAGGTTTTCCCCAGCAGCCACTGCCGCCCGTTGCGCCGCATCTGCCAGTCCCGGGCGCTCACGTCGTTGGCCACCGTGTAGCCCAGCACGTGCTCCAGGGCCACCTCCTCCTGGGGACAGCGGGGACACGCTCAGGGGACACTCCCAGGGAGCCCCCGAGGCGGGGACACCCAGGGAAGCACCCAGGGGACACTCAGGGGACACTCGCAGGGGACATTCCCCGAGGTGGGGACACCCAGGGGACACTCCCAGGGAGCCCCTGAGGCGGGGACACCCAGGGAAACACCCAGGGGACACTCAGGGGACACTCGCAGGGGGCATTCCCCGAGGCGGGGACACCCAGGGGACACTCCCCGAGGCGGGGACACCCAGGGGACACCCTGGGGACATTCCCCGATGTGGGGACTCCCAGGGGACACTCCCAGGGAGCCCTCGAGGCGGGGACACTCAGGGGACACCCAGAGGACACTCGGGGGACACCCAGGGGACACTCCCAGGGGCGGGGACACCCAGGGGACACTCGCAGGGGACACCCCCGAGGCGGGCAGGGGTACCTGGATGTGCCGCCCCCTCTTCCCGATGACAGCCGCCAGCTCCACCTCCCAGTCCAGCTCCTGCGGGGACAGCAGGGCTGGGAGCGCCATCCCGGGGGGCTCTCCCGGGGCTGGGGGGGACACCGGGGTACCCACGCTGGTGTCCTGGGGGTGCACGATGTCATCGAAGGGGCCGGCGATGGCGCTGGGGAACTTGCTGAAGATGAGGGGCTCCCGGGGCACGCTGGCAGCCTGCTCCCGGCAGTGGTCGTGGTAGTTGAGCCCCACGCAGATCACCTTCTGGGGGTCCCCCAGCGGGGCCAGCAGCCGTGCCGCCCCCCGGGGCACGCGGTGCCGCCCCGACTGCAGCGCTCTGGGGGGACACGGGGGCATCACCCGCCCTGGGGGCGCCTCTGGGGGGGCTGCAGCTGCATTTTAGGGGCTCCTTTTAGGGATACCCACAGCTGAGGGGACACACAGGCTGGGGTCAGGCTGTCTTGGGGGGGGTCTCACATCATGGGGGGTCACCCTGATTTGGAGTGCCCATTTGGGGGGACAGCTCTTGGAGGTCACCCACTTTGGGTGGCCGCTCCTGTGGGGATGCCCCCGATTTTGGGGCTCCCTTTCCTTTTGGTGGCTCCCCCAAAAGAGCTGGGGGGGGGGGAGCGAGATTTGCAGCACCCACCTTTGGGGGTCCCCCAACTTTGGGGGTCCCCCTCGGCCTCACCCACCTCTGGGCGAGCTCCAGCCCGCGGGGTCCCATCTCCAGGAAGTCCCGCATGGATCGGGGCAGCTCGGGCTCCGCCGCGCTCAGATCCACCAGGTCCCCCCCGGGCGCCGCCTCCAGCCCCAGCCGGGGCCCCCCGCCCGCGGCCCCCCGGAACCGCAGCAGCCGCAGCATCCCCTGCGGCGGGGCTCGGCTGATCCCGGCCCCGGGGGGACCCCCGCAACCCCCCGGGGTGCGCCCCCCGCCCCGCTCGGTCCCGGGGGTGCCCCCCCATTTCTCGCCCGCTCAGTCCGGTCGCAAGGGATTCTCCAGCGACCCCAGAATCCCCCCAGCCCCAATCTAGGGGATCCCCCCGATCCCAGATCCCCCCGATCCCGGGCATTCTGCGTTCCCAGGGTTCCCCCCGTCCCCAGACACCCCCGATCTCGGAGGTCCCCCCCGATCCCCGGGGTATCCCCCATTCCCGGATCCCCCCCATTCCCGGGGATCCTCCCCGTTCCCAGGGATCCCCCCCGTTCCCGGACCCCCCCATTCCCGAGGGTCCTCCCCGTTCCCAGGGTTATCCCCCGTTCCCAGACACCCCCGATCCCGGAGGTCCCCCCCGTTCCCGGGCATTCCCTGTTCCCAGGGGTCCCCCCCGTTCCCGGGGTCCCCCCCGTTCCCGCCCCCCCAAGTCCCGGGGGTCTCACACACGGCCGCTCCCCCGCTCCGCCAGGGGGCGCTGCGGGCCCCGCCCCTGTCACGTGCCGCGTGACGTGAAGGCCCCGCCCGTTCGGGCCGCCCAATGGGAGTGCGCGGGGGGCGGGGCCAAATTTTCAATGGGAGCCAATGAGAGGAGAGGGTGCAGGGGGCGGGGCCGCGGGAACGGGACCGGGAACGGGAATGAGAGAGGGAACGGGACCGGGAACGGGAATGGGCATGGGAGAGAGAACGGGACCGGGAACGGGACCGGGAATGGGAACGGGAACGGGAACGGGAACGGGAATGAGAGAGGGAACGGGAACGGGAATGGGAATGAGAGAGGGAACGGGAACGGGACCGGGAATGGGAACGGGACCGGGAAAGGGAACGGGAATGAGAGGGGGAACGGGACTGGGAACGTGACTGGGAGTGGGAAAGGGAACGGGAATAGGAGAGGGAACGGGAACGGGAACGGGAGAGGGAACGAGACCGGGACCGGGAATGGGAACGGGAATGAGAGGGGGAACGGGACTGGGAACGTGACTGGGAGTGGGAAAGGGAACGGGAATAGGAGAGGGAACGGGAACGGGACCGGGAGAGGGAATAGGAGAGGGAACAGGAATGGGACTGGGAACGGGACCGAGCATGGGAGAGAGAACGGGAACGAGACCGGGAGAGGGAAAGGGAACAGGAATGAGAAGGGTAAGGGGAATGGGACTGGGAACGGGACCGGGATTGGGAACTGGGAACGGGAATGGGACTGGGAACGGGACACAGGCTGGGAGAGGGGACCGGAGCAGGGCAGGGGCCGGGCACCGCGCCCCTCTCACGCCCCCCGACTCCCTTTCAGCCCTGAACCGTCACCGTTTGTTTATTTACAAAACCCCCTCCCCGCGCGGCTGGGGCAGCAGGGGCTGTGCTCTGGGTCGGTGTTTGGGGGCTCCATCCACGGCTGCCACACGGAGACCCCACCCGGGGGTCCCATCTCTGGGGGTCCCCACGCCCCGGGGTCCCCCCTGGGTGGGGTTTGTGCCGTGCCAGTCCCTGCACCGCCGGGGGTGGGGGTCTCTCAAGGGGAGGCTCAGCCCCCCAGAAGGGGTCAGGCTGGCGGTGGCAGCACCGTGCCCGGGGGGCTCTGGTGGCATCCTCCTGGTCCTGGTCCTGGTCCTGTCCCGGGAGCCACGTGCTGCGTTTCTCCTGCCTCCTGTTTGCCCAAAGCTCTAGAGCACGCTGTGGAAGATCTGCATGGAGCTCATGATGTCCTTGTCCTGGGTGGGGGGGAGAGACACCGGAGACCCCCCTGTGAGCCCCCTCCTCTTGTCACCCTTTCCCTGTCCCCAGCGTCCCGCACTCGCCCCCTCCTGCCTGCCCGAATCCTTCTCCAGCCCCAGTTCAATGCCTGTCCCGCCACGTCCCTGCTCTGCTGATGAGGAAGAGGAGGATGAGGAGGAGATGAGGAGGAGGAGGAGGAGGGCACTCACCTCCTGGCACGCAGCCAGGAACTCCTCGAAGGTCACCACGCCGTCCCCGTTCCTGTCCATCTTCTGCAAGGCAGCGGGGCCGGGGCTCAGCGGGGCGGCCCCGGGGGTGGCCCTGGGGACACGGGGACAGCCTGGCCTGGGGACAGCCTGGCCTGGGGACAGCCTCACCTGGAAGAACAGCTCCACGTGCAGGGCGGGCGCGGCGGGCTCGCTGCAGCGGCCCATCATGGCATAGATGGCCTTCATGATCTGCAGCATGTCCTGGGGGGGCACACAGCGCGCTGGCAGCCCCCCCTCTGCCCGTCCCCACCCCCCCACAGTGTCCCCAGGTGTCACCTCCTTGCTGACGCAGCCGTCCTTGTTCACGTCGTAGAGGTCGAAGGTCCACCTGAGCTTCTGCTGCTCCGTGCCCCGCAGCAGCACCGAGAGCCCCACGGCGAAATCCTGCGGGGGGGCGGCGGGAGGGACCCTCACCGCACCCCGGCCGCGCCCCCCGCCCCGATCCCGCGCCGCCCCAGGCACTTCAGCCCCTATTGATCCCGGTATTTTTATCCCGGAGAGCCCGGCCGCAGCCGGGGAGGGGAGAGGAGGGCGAGGAGGAGGAGGAGGAGGGGGAGGAAGGATGTGATGAATCACGCTGCTGGCAGCGCCGTTCCCACCCGGAATTCCCACCTGGAAGCGCAGAGCCCCGTTGCGGCCGGCGTCGAAGGCGTCGAACAAGAAGTGGGCGTAGGAGCTGGCGTCTGCGGGGGCGGCACCGTGACACCCCGCTGTCCCCCCCGTCCCCCTCCCCGGGGCTCTGGGGACCCCCGACTCACCGCCTTGGGGGAAGAAGCGCGAGTAGATGAGCGTGAAGGTCTCCTCATCCACGAGCCCGCCGGGGCATTCCTGCCAAGGGAGCGGCGCCGGTGACCGCGGGGGCCGCGGGGAGCCGCGGGTCGGGGGGCGCGGGGACCCCCGACTCACGCTCTTGAAGCCTCGGTAGAGCGACTGCAGCTCGGCCTTGGTGAACTTGGTGCGAGCCAGCAGCTGCTCCAGCTCCTCGGGGTGGTGCCGGGCGCTCGGCAGCTCCACGTCGGCGTCGATGCTGTCTGCGGGGGGAGACCCCGGGAAAAACCCCTTAGGGACCCCCCCTGCGCCCCAAAACACCCCAAGACCCCCTTAGAGGTCCCCCTGCACCCCAAACCCACCGGGAAAGAAACCCTTAGGGACCCCCCCTGCGCCCCAAAACACCCCAAGACCCCCTTAGAGGTCCCCCTGCACCCCAAACCCACCGGGAAAGAAACCCTTAGGGACCCCCCCTGCGCCCCAAAACACCCCAAGACCCCCTTAGAGGTCCCCCTGCACCCCAAACCCACCGGGAAAGAAACCCTTAGGGACCCCCCCTGCGCCCCAAAACACCCAAAGACCCACCTAGGGACACCCCTGCACCTCAAACCCACCTGGAAAAACCCTTTAGGGACCCCCCCCCTGCGCCCCAAAACCACAAATAGCCACTTAGGGACACTCCTGCACCTCAAATCCACCTGGAAAAACACCTTAGGGACCCCTCCTGCGCCCCAAAACACCCAAAGACCCCCTTAGAGATCCCCCTGCACCCCAAACCCACCGGGAAAAAAACCCTTAGGGAAACCCCCTGTGCCCCAAAACACCCAAAGACCCCTTTAGAGACCCTCTGCACCTCAAACCCACTCGGGGAAAAACCCCTTAGAGACTCCCCGTGTACCCTAAACTCCCAAAGACCCCCTTAGGGACCCCCCTGCACCCCAAACCCACCGGGAAAAACCCCCTTAGGGACCCCTTCTGTGCCCCAAATCCCCAAAGACCCCTTTAGAGACACCCCTGTACCCCAAATCCACCAGGGAAAACCCCTTTGGGACGCCCCTTCCCCCAAAAAAACCCCAAAGACCCCCTTAGCGACCCCCCCCTGCGCCCCAAAGACCCCCTTAGGGACCCCCGGTGCCCCCGGCCACGGCGGGTGTCGGTCCCGGGGCTCCGAACGTTCCCGAGCCGCCTCTCGGCCGGAAGGTAATTAATAAATGATGCTTCATTAATAATTGCAGCCCGGGGAGCCCCTGCTCAGCGATTTTTGGGACGGGGCCGCGAGCCCGGAGCGTTCCCGGGGGAGACCCCCGGCTCGGGGTGTGAGGGGGCTCGGGGGGGCTTTGGGGGGGTCCCTGTGCTCAATCTCAGGGGGTTTGGGGGTCGCGACCCCCACCTCGGGGGGCTGCTTGGGGTCAGTGCCAGCTCAGAGCCCTCCCGGCCCACCCTGGGGAGGTTTGGGGGTCACTGGGGGTCCCTCCTGGGGGTTCACGGGGGGGGGGGGAGGTCTTGGGGATGGGGGTCCCCAGCCTGCGTGTTTTGGGGTGGGGGTCCCCATCCCCGGGTGTTTGGGGGGGTCTCTGGGGGTCCCCGTCCCTGATATTTGGGGGTGAGGATCTCCATCCCCGGTATTTTGGGGCGGTCCTGGGGGGTCCCCCCATCCCGGGTGTTTTGGGGTGGGGGTCCCCATTCCCAGGTTTTGGGGCGCTCTCGGGGGTGGGGGTCTCCATTCCCGGTGTTTTGGGGTGGGGGTCCCCATTCCCGCTATTTTGGGGCGCTCTCGGGGGTCCCCCCTCCCGGAGGGGCTGCAGGGGGGGTTGGGGGTCCCTGCCCTCTCCCCCCAGCCCCAATCCCCCTCCGTCCTTCCCCCCAACCCCAAACCCCGCTCGCGCTGCCCGGGGAGCTCGCGGAACCCTCATTAATTAGCCCTAATTAATTAATAACCGTGGCTAATTGGGGCTGGGGGCGGCGGGGAGGGGGTACCTTCGGCGGAGATGGGCTCCAGGATGCCGAACTGCTTGAGCACGGCGATGAAGAGGAGGATGAGCACGGCCACGGCGCACAGCTCCATGCCCTGGATGCCCATGGCCCCGGGGGCACCGGGGGGCACCGGGGGGGGCACCGGGGGTCCCCCAAAGCCGGCGGGGCTCTGCGGAGCTGCGGGAGCGCGCCCGCTGCTGCCCGTGCCCGTCCTGCCCTCCTCCCCTTCCTCCTCCTCCTCCTCCTCCTCCTCCGCTGGCGCCCGGCCCTGCCGTGGTTTCTGCACTTTCCCAAAGAAACTTTTGGGGTTTTTTTTGGGGTTGGGTTTTTTTTGGGGAGGGGGTTCGGGCGCGCCCCCGCAGCAGCCGCGGGTGTGGCGGTGGCAGCGGGCCGGTGGCACCGGGGGGGGAGGCTCCCGTGTGCCCCCCCGGCCGGGGATCGATGGCATCGATGGCCGTGAGTAAGCAGCGCGGGGGGGAAACTGAGGCACGGAGCGCGGGGGCGGGGGTCCCGCAGCCCGGGGACATGGCGCTGCGCCCCCGGGGGTGTCGCTGTCACCTCCAGGGTGCCCCCAGTGCCCCCTCAGTGCCGAGGTGGCCCATGGCCAGGGCCCGGGGACATTGTCGCTGTGCCCAGTGTCCCTGTCTCCAGGGCTGTCCCTGACCCCGCAGTGTCCCTGTCCCCCCAGGATTGTCCCTGTCCCCTCAGTGTCCTTGTCCCCAGGGCTGTCCCCAGTGTCCCTGTCCCCCCAGGATTGTCCCTGTCCCCTCAGTGTCCTTGTCCCCAGGGCTGTCCCCAGTGTCCCTGTCCCCCCACATTGTCCCTGTCCCCCCGCAGTGTCCTTGTCCCCCCAGGGCATCCCTGTCCCTAGAGTGTCCCTGTCCCCAGGGCTGTCCCTGTCCCCGGAGTGTCCCTTCCCTAGAATGTCCCTGTCCCCCCAGAACTGTCCCTGTCCCCTCAGTGTCCCCGTCCCCCCAGAGTGTCCCTGTCCCCAGAATTGTCCCTGTGCCTTCAGGGTGTCCCTGTCCCCAGGGTGTCCCTGTCCCCAGGGCTGTCCCTGTCCCCAGAGTGTCCCTTCCCTAGAATGTCCCCGTCCCCCCAGACTGTCCCCGTCCCCACAGTGTCCCCGTCCCCAGGGCTGTCCCCAGAGTGTCCCTGTCCCCTCAGTGCCATTGTCCCCTCAGTGTCCCTGTCCCCTCGGGTCCCATCTCCCATCCCAAACCTCAGCCCCCCCCGGGACCACCGGACCCGCTCTGGGGGCGTGGCCACATAAAAGGGCGTGGCCACCACAGGAGAGGCGGGGCCACCGGCAGGGGCGGGGCCACCGACAGGGCGTGGTCATTCACGGGGGCGTGGCCATTCACAGGGGCGGGACCACCGATAGGGGCGGGGTCATTCACGGGGGCGGGGCCATCGGGGGCGTGGCTCGGTGGCTGTGGGCGTGGCCCCGGTGGTGGCGCGCCGCTGCCTCTGCCGCTCCCGCCGTCCCGCCCGGCGTCACTTCCGCTTCCGCCCGCGCCGGAAGAGCCGCCAGTCTCGCCGCCATGGCCTCAAGGTTACTGCGGGTGAGCGCGGCCCTGCGGCTCCTGCCCGCGGCCACCGCCCGCGCCGCGCCCGCCCGCCACCTCGGCGTGCCCGGTGAGCGGGGACGGGGGAGCGGGGAGGCGGGGGGAGAGCGGGGGGGAGCGACCACCCCCGCGCCTGTGTGTCCATCCCTGTGTCAGTCTGTCCCCGTGTCTGTCTGTGCCCGTGTCTGACCACCCCCGTGTCTGTCCCTTTGTTATCCGTGTGTCCATCCCTGTGTCTGTCCGTCTCTGTGTCCCTGTGTCCATCCATCCCCCTGTCCCCGTGTCCGACGTCCCACCTGTTCCTGTGCCCTTGACCGTTTGTCTGTCCCGTTCTGTCCTTGTGCTCTGTCCCACGCTGTCCGTGTCCCTTTGTCGTCCATCCCCCTGTCCCTGTGTCCGTCCTCCCACCCGTGCCTGCCCGCACTGTTTGTGTGTCTGTTCCTGTCCCCTTGTCCGTTTGTCTGTCCCCTTCTGTCCTTGTGCTCTGTCCCACGCTGTCCGTGTCCCTTTGTCCCTCTCCGCCATGCGTGTCCCCCTGTCCCACGCTGTCCCTCCTTGTCCCCCTGTCCCTGTCCCCCTGTCCCTGTCCCCTGTCCCACGCTGTCCGTGTCCCTTTGTCCCTCTCCGCCATGCATGTCCCCTCATCCCCCTGTCCCTGTCCCCTGTCCCACGCTGTCCCCGTCCCCCAGGTGAGGAGGACAACAGCTACGTGGTTTGGTTCTGGCTGCACAAGGGCGAGGCCCAGCGCTGCCCCTCCTGCGGCGCCCACTACAAACTGATCCCGCACGAGCTGCCCCACTGAGGGCCCCCCGCCCCAAAACCGCCCCCCCAGGGGCTCTGGGACCCCCACCCCGCTCGGGGGCCGGGTCCCGCTGACCCCCAGCTCCCCCCATAAAGAGGTTGTGTGAGAGCCTGGCTGTGTCTGTGCTGGGGGGGTCCCCGTGGCTGGGGAGGGGGCGGGGGGCTCTGAGGGGCGCTGCTTGGGGTGGGGGGACCCCTCCTCACCGTGCCTCTGCGCCGGGGGGGTCCCGTGGGTGCTGTGTCCCCTCTGGGCTCCGGGAGGCGGGGAGGGTCCCACAGCCCCCCCCCACACACACTCAGGGGCTGTTTGTCCCCTCGGGCTGTGCTGGCCTGTCCCACGGGGTCACCCCTGGGTGCCGATCCCGCCCTGCGCCTCCCTCGGGGGGACGGGGAGAGACCACCGGGGCCAGGGGCGGCCCAGGGTGTCCCGTGGGGGCGGCCACGGACCGGACTGGGGGAGTCCCCTCGGGCAGCTCAGCCCAGCCCGGGGGCCGGCCGGGTTCTGGAGGGTTCCAGCAGGTTCTGGAAGGTTCCGGCGGGTTCTGCCCTCCAGGCCCAGCTCAGGGTTCGGGTCGGAGGTTGCCCATCCAAAGTATGGCCCCAGTGCCGCTGACCAGCCATGATGTCATCCGTGATGTCACGCTGGCTGGCCATGACGTCATGCATCCCCAGCCAGAGGGGGCGGGGCTGTGAGCCTCACCGGCCAATGGGGGCGGTGAGAGACAGCTGGGGGTGGGGCTTCGGGCATGGCGGGCCAATGGGGGCTGCGGGAGGCTGTGACTGACAGCCGGGAAGGGCGGGAATCTGCTCAATGGGGGGAGGAGCTGGGGGCGGGGCTTATGGGACCAATAGGAGCTGCAGGCGCTCGTGACTGACAGCCGGGGTGGGCGGGGCCCTCGGCCGCATTGACCAATAGGAGCCGGCTGCGGCCGTGACTGACAGCCCGGCAGCGGAGCGCTGCGCTCAATGGAGGGGAGGGGGCTGCGGGGCGGGGCCCCGACCCAGCGACCAATGGGAGGCGTGGCGGCGCTGACTGACAGCTGGGGGCGCGACTCGGAGCGATGCCATTGGCGGGGAGGGGGGGGCTCCGGGGCGTGGCCTCCAAGAGCCGCCTGACGCTCTCCATGGCCGTGGCCGCCGAGTTCCGCGACTACCTGGGCGACTTCATCGAGCACTACGCGCAGCTGGGCCCGTCCAGCCCCGAGCAGCTGGCGCAGGCCGCGGGGCCGCCGGGCGAGGACGGCGCCGGGCCCCGCCGCGCCCTCAAGAGCGAGTTCCTGGTGCGGGAGAACCGCAAGTACTACATGGATCTGAAGGAGAACCAGCGCGGGCGCTTCCTGCGCATCCGCCAGACCGTGAACCGCGGCCCCGGCGGCCCGGGGGGGTTCGCGGGCGGCCCGCCGGGGCTGCAGAGCGGCCAGACCATCGCGCTGCCCGCGCAGGGCCTCATCGAGTTCCGCGACGCCCTGGCCAAGCTCATCGACGACTACGGCGGCGAGGAGGACGAGCTGGGCGGCCCCGGCGGCGGCGGCCCGGGCGGCGGGGGGCTCTACGGGGAGCTGCCCGAGGGCACGTCCATCACCGTGGACTCCAAGCGCTTCTTCTTCGACGTGGGCTGCAACAAGTACGGCGTGTTCCTGCGGGTCAGCGAGGTGAAGCCGTCCTACCGCAACGCCATCACCGTGCCCTACAAGGCCTGGGCCAAGTTCGGCGGCGCCTTCTGCCGCTACGCCGAGGAGATGCGCGACATCCAGGAGCGCCAGCGGGACAAGCTCTACGACCGGCGCGCCGGCCCGCCGGGACCCGGCAGCGGCAGCGGCGCCGGTGACGACTCCGACGGCGACGACGTGGACGACGACTGAGCCGATCGATCCCCCCAGCCCTCGACCCCGACGCCGGCCCCCCACCACCCCCCCCGAGCCCCGGGGCGAGCGGGTCCCCGATCCCCCCTCCCAGCGACGGGGCACGGGGCCGCGCCCCCCCCCCTCCTGCCGCCACCGGAGAGAGAGAAACCGGCCCGACCGTGCCGCTGCCCACCCCCGGCCCCTCCCCGGCTCCCACCGTGGGACCCCCGCACCCCAGGACTCGCTGCTTTGGGGGGGGACGGGGGTCACCCGCAGCCCCCTCCCCTCCCGGTGCCCCCCACCCAAACCAGCACGCCGGGGCCCCGGGGCCGAGCGGCGGCGGCAGCGCCGGGGGCGGGGGGGGCAGCGGAGGCACCTTGGACCAACGGCCGTTCCCTCGGCTTGTGATTTTCCCTTCATTTTCCTTTTTTTTTTTTTTTTTTTTTCCTATTTTTTTCTTTCCGCGTGTGTTTTTTGGGGCCCTCGACCCCGACGCCGGCCCCCCACCACCCCCCCCGAGCCCCGGGGCGAGCGGGTCCCCGATCCCCCCTCCCAGCGACGGGGCACGGGGGTCCCCTGAGCCCCCTCCCCACAACAGCGACGGGGCCGAGGGGTCCCTGAGCCCCCCTGCCCCCTCCCAGCGACGGGGTGAAGGGGTCTCCAAAGCCCCCCCGGGTCTCCGCTCCCAGCAACGGGACGAAGGGGTCCCCGAGCCCCCCCCAGCAGCGGTGGGGCACGGGGGTCCCCGAGCCCCCCGCGCCCCCCCCCTCCTGCCGCCACCGGAGAGAGAGAAACCGGCCCGACCGTGCCGCTGCCCACCCCCGGCCCCTCCCCGGCTCCCACCGTGGGACCCCCGCACCCCAGGACTCGCTGCTTTGGGGGGGGACGGGGGTCACCCGCAGCCCCCTCCCCTCCCGGTGCCCCCCACCCAAACCAGCACGCCGGGGCCCCGGGGCCGAGCGGCGGCGGCAGCGCCGGGGGCGGGGGGGGCAGCGGAGGCACCTTGGACCAACGGCCGTTCCCTCGGCTTGTGATTTTCCCTTCATTTTCCTTTTTTTTTTTTCTTTTTTTTCCTATTTTTCTCTTTCCACGAGTCTTTTTTGGGGGGGTTTCTTTTTGGTTTTTGGGTTTTTTTGGTGTTTTTTTGTTTTTTTTTCTTCCCGGGATGCAAACTCCAGGCGCCCGAACTGGAACCCGCCCCGAGCTGGCGGCTCCCTGACAATTAGGGAAGATTTCCTCGGTTTTGCCGATTTCTGACCGTTTTTCCCCCCCCCTCCCCGTTTCCCGCCGGGAAGGGGGAGGCGCCGGCACAAAGCACAAGGAAAAACTCGACGGGGCGAACCATCTTCCCCTTCTCTCCAAATAAGGCGCCTCCGGCCCCGTTTCACCAGGACCCGCCGGAATCCGCCCCTTGGCTTCACCCAAATTGGATTTTCCGGCCCCAAATCCGTGGCCACGCCCGGCCCCGGCACCTTGGGGGTGGATTTTGGAGGTTTATTGTTATTTTTTGCCTCCTTTTGTCTTTTTTTGCCCCCCTGGGCCCGGCCCTGGCGCCGCCTGGTCCCTCCAGCCACCTCCTATTAAACACATTTTTCCACTCTCAAATAGTCTTTTTTTTTTTTTTTTAATTCTTTTTCACTCCCTCAGCTCAGTCCTGCCCTGTACAGAATTCCGGTTTTTCACCCCGTTTTCCCATAACTCTGAACTCCATCGCTCTCATTCCAAAGTTTTGCCTCTTCTTCTCCAACGGTTTCACCACTTGTAGGACTTTCCTTTTTTTTTTTTTTTTTTTTTTTTTTTCCCTTTTAATCCATTTTTGGGAGCCCAATCAGCTGCCTCCTTAATTTATTACCACGGATCCGGCATCTCCCTCTCTCCATATTTATTGGGAAGTGAGGAACAGCCGCAGACCCCTGGGGGACCCCCCACGCCGCTGTCCATCTGTCCGTCCGTCCGTCCGGCCCCCTCCCGCCGCTCCCGCCGCTCCCGCTGCCGTCGCTCTTTTTAAAGGGATTTTTAAAAGCGAATTTCTTCCGTTTATCCCGTTTTTAAGCCTTCTCCGTCGCAAAGGACCCGGATCCCTCACTCACTCACTCGGGAGCAATAGTCCTTCCTCGATGGCCGATGTGTCCTGTACTGTATTTTGTACCCTCAGGCAGCTCTTTCCGGTGAATTCCTGCTGTATCCACCCATCCTCCTGGTCCTGTGTTCTTTGCCACGGAGAAAAACCATAAACCACGACGGCGACGACGGATTTGGGGGGAAGAAAACGCTCCCAGCTCCGCGGGACTCACCGGCGTCCAGCCGCGGGACCTCTCCTTTTATTTTTGAAGAGGATGAGATATATATATATATATATATATATAAAAATATATATATATTCCTTTGGGTTTCTTTCTTTTGGCTGAATTGCGGTGATTTAGCCTTATTTCTACTCTGGGAGAGCGGCAAAATCGCTGCCGGCCCGGCCCAGCTCTGGGGAGCTGGCTAGAAATACATGGAAGAGGAAAAAAAAAAAAAAAAAGGCAAAACCACCAAAATCCAGTAATAAACCCAAAAAAGCAGCTCCCGGCGTTGGCTCAGGGAGCCTTTCCCGGCCAGAGAAGCGCTGGATCCATGGACACAACCTCCCACAGCTCCATTTGGGTGGGAAGAGCAGAGCACATCGGGGGAAGACAGCGGAAAAAAACAGCCAAAATGAGATAAAATAGGGGAAAAAAGGGGATTTGAGGTGCCAGCTGGAGCGAGAGGAGCGGCCATGGGGGAGGGGATCTTGGGGGGCAGTTTTGGGGTTTTTTTTTCTCTTGGAGCCCCCCAGGAGGCGTTGGGTGTTTCCCAGGAAAGCGGGACAACGCCGGCATCTCCCCTGAACCCCCTTCCCATCTCTGTGTGTATAGACATGGCTGTGTGTACATAGCTCAGATTCGGTTGGGTTTTGGGTTGAATTCTGTAGAAAATGGGCAAATTGCTTTCTTTTTTTTTATTTTATTTTATTTTTAATCCACACATAGGGGGAAAATATCCCGAATTCCTGGTACTTCCAGCTTTGCTGCCCCAGAGGGGCTGATGGAGAACGCCATGATGGCTGTACAGACAGAACATTGGAAGTCTTGTACAAAGCCCCAAAACCCACTGGAAAATACCCCAAATGGCTGGGTCTGGAGCGGGTGGTGCTTCCAGGGCAAGTTCAAACAGCTTCAGTTCTTTTTGCCCTAAAAAATACAAAAGAAAATTCGGATTCTCCTGCCTTGTTTCCAGGCGATTTGGGGGCAGTGGGGGGTGGTTTGGGGGGGCCGTGCCAGTGGCGGCTCCTCACATCGGTGACAAAACCAACCCAGCCCCTCACTGGCCTCTCATAAAAAAAGCAAAAAGTGGGGAGAAAAAAAAAAAAAAACTGGAAAAGATTTTAACAAAGCAGCTGAGGGAGCACTGGGGCTATGCAGGGCGGTGCGCCACGGAGCTCGGCAGGTATTCCCAGTGGGAAATCCCAGCGGGCTCCGTGGATGCTCCCAGGTGTTCCTGCAGGGCGAGGCCATCGCCCTCCTCGCCCTCCTCATCCCCGCGGAGCCGGTAGAGCCAGCGGCGCCGGGGCTGGGCCGCGCCGAGCCGGGGCTGGGCGTTGGCGGGACGAGGCAGATCCGGGCGGGAGGAGCACGGAGCCTGCAGCCCCGGGGCTCTGGCCTGGGAGCAGACACGGGGCTGGGACGGCATCGCTGGGGAGAGCGCTGGATCCTCCTCCAAGAGCCACGCGCTCCCAGGGCTGGATGTGCTGCCAGCTGGGTCCTGCAAGAATTGTATCCTCTGAAAGATGGATCCTCAGAGTGCCCGATCCTCCTCGGAGAGCTGGGTCCTTCAAGAACTGGATCCTCCAAGAGCTGGGTCCTCTGAGCTCCAGATCCTTCTCTGAGTGCTAGATCCTCCTCCAGGAGCCAGATCCTCCTCCCAGTTGGATCCTCCAAGAGCTGGATCCTCTTGAGAGTTGGATCCTCCAAACACTAGACCCTCCTCTTCGAGCTGGGTTCTTCTCCAAGCAGCAGATCCTCCTCGGAGAGTTGGATCCTCACTGAGAACTGGATCCTGTGAATGTTGGATCCTCCTCCGAGCCCCGGATCCTCTGGGAGCAGCAGATCCCGGGAGCGCCGCCTCCCTCCCCGAGCGCTCGCCACGACGTCCCTTTGCCGAAAAGAGAGAGAAAAAAAAAAAAAAAGAAAGTTTTATTCCTGTTATTTTTTTAATGAAAGAAAAACAAAAACTAAAGCAAACCTGCACTTTAGGCGGCCGGGGGGGCCGGGGCCCCCGTGTCCCTTCCCTGCGGCCGGCGGGGCGGCTCCAGGGGCCGGAGGCAGGTCCTGGGTGTTACCACTAGCGCAGACGAGGCCGACGCGACGAACTCCTCCTGCTCCGAGCACTCCTGACGTAGCAGATTTTTGCAAATGGAGTTTTACAGTCTATATTTAAAGAATTGTATGTTTGTAACAAATAAAGTATGCGGAAAAGTGAATGAAAACCAGCCCGGGCCCGGCTTGCTCCTTGGGGGTGCCGTGGGGGGCCCTGGAGGGTGGGGAGGGCTGGGGTGGTCACCCTGCGGGGTTAGGGGGACGTGCAGGGTGTCCTGAAGGCACACACGGGGAATTGGGGTGTCCCGAGGGGATCCCCTGACCACGGGGAGCTGGGGGTGTGAGGTACCAGCGCGGTGGGCAGGGAGGAGGATTGGCGTGGCGTAGGCGTGTTGTGTCACAGCTCGGGCTGGTGTGTGCACAGTGCAACGTGTGTGTGTGGGCGTGTGCGAGGTGTGCACGCTATCACATCTCCGTGTGTAAGGTGTGTGTAAAGTGAGTGTATGGCAGCATGGCTGCCTGCTGTGTGTGTAAAGTGTGTGTAAGGCATTTGTGCCAGCACATGGCTGCCTGCTGTGGGTGTGTATGTGTAAAGTGTGTGTAAGGAGTGCGTACCATCACATGGCTGCCTGCTGTGTGTGTGTAAGGCATTTGTGCCATCACATGGCTGCCTGCTGTGTGCGTGTAAGGCATTTGTGCCACCGCATGGCTGCCTGCCGTGTGCGGGTGTAGGGCTGGCACGGTTCGGCGTGGCCCGTGCGCGCTGTGCGCACCATGTCTCAGGCAGGTGTGCGTGCACAGATGCGAAAGGCTGGCGTGCCACGCACACGGCTGCGCGGTTGGTGCGTGCCAGGTGCGGTGCCATCACAGCCGTGTCCCGCCGTGCCCGTGCCGTGTCCCCACCGGCGCTGCCGCAGCCCCCGCCCGCCGCGCTGCGGCTCCCTGCGGGCTCGGGCTCATCTGAGGACACGCGGGGACCCGCCTGCGCATGAGCCGCCGTCACCGCCATCGCCGTCACCGCCACCGGGGCCCGCCGCGACCCCCGAGCGCCCGCGGCTCCTCTGCATCCCGAGCCCCCGGGGACAGCCGGGGGAGCGGCTCCTCCGGCCCCATCCGCGGCCCCATCCCACCCCGCAGCTGCTCCGGCTCCCCCCGGCCGGCCTCGGGGGAGCTGGGGACAGCTGGAGGGGCCCCTGGATGGAGCCGGGGGGGCGCAGCCCGCGGCAGTTGCTGCCGGGGCAGGTGCGGCGCTCCCGGGGTGCCGGGAGCAGCTGCGGCGTGCGGGGTGCGGGCACCCCGAGCCTCCCCGGGGGATGCGCGGAGCCCCCCGCCCGGTGCTGGGGGGAAACTGACGGGGCAGGGCGGGCACCCCACAGTCGCCTCCGTCACCCTCCTCCTCTTCCTCGGGCTCCTCCCAGCCGTGCGGCCGGGGCAGGGAGGGGGGCCGCCTTGAGCCGCCCGGCAGCTGCAGCGGGGGCTGCGCGGGCCTGCCCCGTGCAGGGAAACTGGCACGGAGGGACAGCCGGGGGATCAGGAACGGGACCAGGAATGGGACCAGGAACAGGTGCCGCGCTCCAACTCAGCTCGCCCCGTTCCATTTGGCACAGAGGAACTCAGTTTTTATTCACATGTTTGCTCGGAAAAGGCGCGCTCTTCGCCGGCCCGCAGCGGGGCTGGGGCCGCGCTGAGCCCCCGGCGGCGCGGCGAGGAGCGGGTGCAGTGCGGGGCCGGGCACCGCGGCCGCTGCTCCAGGGAAACTGAGGCACGGCCGGCAGCACCCCCATGGCCGCGGGCAGAGGGGCTCGGGCTGTGCGGGACCGCCAGCTCCGAACGCTGCCCTGCCACCTGCCCGCGAACCCCCGGTGCCATTTACCAACTCAGCTCGCCCCGTTCCATTTGGCACAGAGGAACTCAGTTTTTATTCACATGTTTGCTCGGAAAAGGCGCGCTCTTCCCCCCAGCAGCGCCGTGAATTTTTGGGCTTTTTGGCCACACTCGACCCCTGCCGTCAGCACTGACAGACCCTGCGGTCTCTCAGGGTCCGGCGGCGGGCTCCGTGTTACCTCACGCCCGTGCCCTTCTCACTCATCCTACGGGGCAGCGCCGGGCTACGTCCGTACCGCCCCAGACACACGCACGGAGGGTCAGCGGCACCGGAGCTGGGTGTCCGCGGGCGGGCTCCCCTCTCAGCCCCAGGGAGGACCGGGCTACCGCAGGAGCGAAGCCCCGGAGCCGCCAAGCCCCGCGCTCCCCTCACGGCCCGGCCCCTCCTCTCCGGCTCCCTCACACAAACACGACAGGAGGCGGAGCCATAGAATGGGCGGGAAACAGTGTCCGTTTTCCATTGGCTCAGCCAGCTGTCTATCATCATAACTCCGCCCCTCATCGCGGTGATCGTTATTGCTATTCGCCGGGCGGTGACGTCAGCGACGCCGGCGCGCCCCGCCCTCACACCGCTGCGTGCCGTGTGCAAAGGCAACACAGCCGTTAAACGAGCCGCGGGGCGGAGCCAGCGATGGACGGCAAAAGAAGCGGCTCGCCCATTGGGCACTGCGGGATGTTCAAACTAGTATGGGAGGCGGTGATTGGCGGCGACGCGGCGCGGCCCGCCGCCCCCGCCCGGGCGGGTCATTGTCTGGCGGCTCCTGAGGCGGGTCGGGCGCGGCGGTGGCTTTGGGGTTCGGACGGCGGCGGCGGTACCATGGTGAGGGCAGGGGCAGCAGCGCGGCTCGGGACTCGGGGGGCCGGCCGGGACAGCGCGGCCGGGCCCCGTGGGGCCGCCAATGGGCGCCGCTGTCAGCCCAGGCCGGGCGGGGGGAGCGGGCCGGGCCCGGTCCGTGACCTTGGCTCCGGCCCGGCGCTCCCCCGGTGCCCCGTGCCCGCTGCCGCCTGGTTCCCGGGGAGGGGGTTTGCGCTGCCCTCCAACCCCGGCGCCGCCGGTGCCCCGCCGCGCTGTCAGAGCGCTGCGGTGCCGGCCGCTGTCCGCCCGGCCGCGGGTTGTGCCTGTTGCGGGGCGGTTGGACGGGAGGAAGCGGCTGTCGTGAGGGGAACGTCGGTCGAGCGGCCCCGAGCTGGCTCTGTCAACCGCCCGGCGCCTGCTCCGGGGCTACCCGGATACAAATCATCCCGCTTCCCGGGGAAACGGCCCGGTGCGGGGAAAAAACGGGGGTTTATTCTCCCCGGTGCCCCGGTCCTGTGGCCCCGTGGGGAGAATGGGGGGAGCCGGGTGCGGAGCTGTCAGCGCAGGCGGGCAGGGCGATGTGCGTTACGGGGTCCCGTGGATCCGCAGGATCGTGAGGGGGTTCCGAGGGTCCGCGGGAGCGTTCTGTGCTTCCACAGGTGAATTTGTGGGGGATTCGGGCGGTTCTGTCGTTCTCCGAGCATCCACTGGACAGGTTCTGTGGGTCCGCAGGGGGCTCGGGGGGTTCTGCGGATGCACAGGTGGGCTCGGCGGGGTCCGTGGGGGGCTCCGGAGCCGGCGGTGAGGCCCCGATCCCCCCGCGGTAATGCAAACACCGTTGGGTTATGCAACTGCTGCCGCCGCCAAGAACTTGTGCTCGGGGATGTCTGGGAATGTGCGGCACGAGATAAGGAGCTGCTGCTTGGAGGGGTTTTATCCTGTTTGAAGCAATAAGAGGAAAAAAAAAAAAAAAAAAAAAAAAGAAAGTTTTCTGTGAAGAGCCCGGCGGGTCAGAGGCAGGGAGGATTTAGCACGGGATTGCGCTCCCAGCGAGGTGGAGAGAAGGGATGGAGATGCCACAAGGTGGTCCCAACCAGGAGGGTGAGGAGAGAATTCCTCGGGATTGCCCCTCAGGAGGGAGGAGTCCAGGAGCCCTCACTCCCAGAGGGAGCTGGAGGCACCTGGGCTGGGGGAAATGGGGACAAACCTCGGGATTTCCACGGCGAGACCTTTCTTGCTCTTCGTAGTCAACCCCAAACCCCGTGAAGATGTCTCAGGCAGCTGGAAAACCTGCTGGGGCAGTGGGAAAGTTCACAGCTGGCTGATAAAAGCCCGCAGTGGGAACAGCCAGTGCTTTTCCCAACGCTGCTTTTTATTCCTAGAGCAAGGAAATATACACAAATCCCCCTTGCCTCCCCCTTTTTTCCCATAAATCTCCCTTTCCACCCCTGAAATCCACCCCCCAGCACGCCCTCCTTGAGCTGAGCAGTTTGGTGATGTTTTTTCCCGATGAAAGTAACTCCTACAGAGTGGATTTGCTGGGTCCCCCGTGGCCTCACCCAGCGCCCTCTGCTTGCTTTAATCACCTCGGGATTCATTAATGCCCCCTCGTGACTAGTTTTTTTTCCAATGTTTGCACTGAACATTGTGTTAACTCCCACCTGGCTGGGATGGGACCCCAATCTTGGACATTCCCAGGTGAACCAGTGTCTTATTTTTAGGGTTAATGTGCTCCACTTGCTCTCCTGGCATGTCTGAATCCTTTCAGCTCCCTCACCATGGGCCAAAATTCCTCCTTTTTAGAGGGGATAGGGACTGTGGGATCAATATATTCTAGAAAAACAGGGATTGTGAGTATCCAGGGTTTTTTCAGGCTCCCATCTCCCTCTGCTGTTGTTTCTTGTCTTTCTGTGGGCTGGAAAACTTTGTTTTGGGGATTCTTATCCCTGTTTATTTTTACCTGGAGCAGATTTCGGGTTGCTGACGTCTTTCCCACGGGGAGGGTGCAGCTCCCTCTACTTTCCTGCGTCACCCACAGCTCTCACCTTCATTAGGAACAGCTCTCATTAGTGGTTAATGACGTCATGGGGTCTTCCCATGTCCCTGGAATCCGTGGATTTCCTGGCAGCGGATGGGAGAGCCCAGCAAACTTGTGTTCCCTCTTCCTCGTTACTCAGCAACTCCCAAACTCTTGGCTTTGGCATTTCCACCCCTTCCAACGTGGTTTGCATTAAATCCACCATTTCTGGTGGATTTATCCAGGGGCTCCTGGTAATTCCCACTCTGGAGCAGGAGGGGAATTGCCCCTGGATCCCACAGGATTCCATTCCCATGTGCAGGAACAGTGCCCTGCCCAGTGTGTGGAGAAATCAAATCTGAAAACAAACTGGGCTCACTGGGAAAAAACCCCTCAACAATGGGATTTTTGGGCTGTTTTCCCCCCATTTGGCATTTTCTGGAAAACACTGGGAACAGTGGCAGCAGGATGAGACCCCTGGGCGAGGAGCAGCTGCTGCACCCTGAAAACCTCCCTTGTTTATCCCCTCGAGTCCGCGTGGTTCGCGAGGCCCCGAGTTGCCAGGGGAGCTGCAGCTTATCCTGCAGCAGGTCCCTCTGGCTTAGAATTAACGAGATTGTTTGGATTCAGGGGCTGATTAGATTAATTAACGGGCCCTTTCTCCCCCAGGCTGGCGGCAAGGCGGGCAAGGACAGCGGCAAGGCCAAGGCCAAGGCCGTGTCGCGCTCCCAGAGGGCCGGGCTGCAGGTATGGCTCAGGGAGTGCTGGGCACCCCCAAACCCCTGCTTTGGGGTCAAAACGGGGTGTTTTGGCACTGGGAGGTGTAGGGAGCCATGAGGGGGTTTGCTGTCAGGTGGGACGGAGAGGATGGGAGGATTAATTGGGTGAAGTTATATATATATATATAAAAAATATATATCTAAAAATTTTTAATAATTAAAAATTATTTTAAAATAATTTAAAAATTAAAAATAATAATTTAAAAATTATTAAAAATGTATATATTTTAAATATATATATTTAAAAATATATATATTAAAAAATTAAATATATATATTTATATTTTGTATAATATAATTATAAATATATTATATATAAACATATAAATATATATAAAATATATTTTATATTATATAATACAGTTATATTTTCTAAGTAGTAATTATAATTAAAATGCAATTATTTTATGCTATACCAGATATAACGACATTTTACTAAATGACATTTTTATGATATATATGTCATAACAATATAATGAATTATTATAATTTACGTTAATATTGATATTAATTGGTAATGAATAAATTGGATAGCGATCTGTTTGGCTAGCTGCAGCCCAAATCAGCCCTGCACGGTGTACGTGTGCACACTGGGCGGGCTGTAGGTGCTAACGAGGCTGTTAATTACCCCCCCAGTTCCCAGTGGGCCGCATCCACAGGCACCTGAAGACCCGGACCACCAGCCACGGGCGCGTGGGAGCCACGGCGGCCGTGTACAGCGCGGCCATCCTCGAGTACCTGACCGCTGAGGTAGGACCCCCTCCCTCCCTCCCCCTGCAGCCCCCCAGCCCTGCCCCGGCCGTTCCCACCTCCTCCTGTCACCCTGCAGGTGCTGGAGCTGGCCGGGAACGCTTCCAAGGATCTCAAAGTGAAGCGGATCACGCCCCGGCACCTGCAGCTGGCCATCCGCGGCGACGAGGAGCTGGACTCGCTGATCAAAGCCACCATCGCTGGAGGAGGTGGGGCTGCTTCCCCTGCTCCACCTGGCCTGGGGAACGTGGGAATGCAAGCAGGAATTTGGCACGAGCACGTGGGCTGATTGCATCAGTTCACACTGAGGGGATCCGCCTGGCGCTCGCAAAATGGGGGATTTTGGAGTTTCTTGGCAATTCTGCAGGTGGTTTGACAGGGTTTCTCCCCCTCCTCTCTCTGCAGGTGTCATCCCCCACATCCACAAGTCTCTGATTGGAAAGAAGGGACAGCAGAAGACGGCGTAGAGGGAGCACAGCACCGGATCCCCCCGTCACCGTACTGTACCTGGCACAGGAACATCTCGGGGATACGAGGGATTTTTTAAAGGAATAGTTGACAGGAAGAGCATAGAGGATCGGCTGTAGAGGGAGCTTTGGGATGGGGTTAGGTTCTGAGTAGGACACACCGCGGGCTGTGGGGCGGCAGCTGGGGGTGGGCAAGTGGCTCGGCTGCCCGCACGTTTTATACAAAAGTGGAACCCATAAACCATTTTTTACAAAAATCCGCACCGGCTCCAGTGCTGAGGGGGGAAGGGGCGTTGGGAGGGGGCGTCGGGACCCCCCCGGTACCGAGGGATAAGCACCGCCCACTATGCAAATGTTGGGTGGGTGGGGCGTGCCGCAAGGCCCCGCCTCCCGGGAGCACATGGCCGGCTCTGTCCGTCTGTCCAGCCGGGGAGGTGTCAGTCTGTCCTGGCCCAACACAGGAGTGTCTGTGTGTCCGTCCATCCCCGGGCTCAGGGGGACAGACAGCAGGCAGCAAATGGATGCCGGGAGTGTGCATGTCAGACAGTTCTGGCTGTGTGGGGGCTGCGTCTGTGTGTCTGTCTGTCTGTCTGTGGCTGTCAGGCTCTGTCACTCCTGGGCGTCCCTCTGTCCCGGCCACGCGTGTCCTGCCCAAGCTCCCGCCGAGCCCTGG